CATGTTTCCAAGCTGTATGACAACTGTGATCTGACAACCTTACCATGCATCCCTACACCTCAACCTGAGCTGAAGGTAGTCAGTATGGAGCTGCTCCTTCCTTCCACAAACAGCTGTCACACCTGCGTTGCAGGCAATTCAGTTACTGTGCCCACTCCCTTTGTCCAAAGGGATCTCCGGGAGTGAGAAACAGCCGTCACAGCAGTATCAGGAATGAAGGAAGGGTGAGCCACTTCCTTTCCCCTTTCTCAAAATACTCAGCTGTATCCAAGTTTCTGCCAAATCAGTTTTGCTCAGCATCCCAACACCCTGAGCTAAGCTGTAGTGCTCACCACTACGGCTGGGAGGCTATGGACTGCATCTCCTCTGGGTCTGCCCCTTTGCCATTTCCCTGGGCAGGTATGTTGAGCCTCTGTAGAAATTCACAGGCATATGCAGTTGCCCAGAATTCTGCAAATAGCTGTGTTCTGTATTTGCATAAGACGTCATGCATTAATTGAAACCTGCTTGTCATTAATCAGAGGCTTTAGTGAGCTAGAATTTTTCAGTTAGATTTTTGCTGAGCCTAGGCTTCAGCATTTTCACACTTGTGAACTGCACTTAAAAAAACCTGACTGCCAACATCTGTCTGATAAATAGTAGTTCAAAAGTGTAACAAATGCCAAACAACACTTCCTTGTTTTAGTTACTGTTGGACATGGATGTAGAAGAAGGATAGAGAGGGGCTTTTTAGAAGTATTAGTCTTACTCAGCAGAGGGTGAAACACCCATTTCACCAGCCTGTTTCATAACTGGTTCCTAAAGTACATGGAAATAAGTGGGATTGATTCTGCCAACTCTGTTCATTCAAAATAGAACTTTACTCCCTCAGAAATCAGTTAGAGTCTTCATGGTGCTGCTCTGCACAAATAAGGCTTTACTTGTTAAGTGGGAAAGAAGCAAAATTCCTAGTGAACCATAACTCCAGCCAAAAGTTAAAGAACTGGATCTGCATAAAGAAATTAGAACCAAAAACAAATTTCAAAGTTTCCACACCTGAAAGGAAATTTTGAATTACTGAGTGTATGAAATTGATGAAAAGACACTAACAGAAAATTGTCTCTTCCTATACACATCTTCAAGTCCAGAGCTAGTAAGAACTAATGAGCAGAGGCATTTCTTTGGGGGTGACATCTTACCAGTTTGCTGAGGTGAAATACTGAGTACTTAATACAGAAATGCAAAAAGTACCTTCTGGACTGAAAGAAATCCCATTATGAATGGTGACAGTGTGGGTCCATAGCTGTTGAGATGCAGTGGAAGTGTGTTTTGGCCCATTAGGTGGCTGTGTTGCATTTTGAAGCAATTTCTAGGTTGGAGAATTGTTACCAAATAATCCCATGTGGACTGATTCCACTGCAGCTGCACCAGAGTTAGCAACAATGGGAACCTTAGAATAGACAGCTTTCAGTTCCAGCAGCCGTTTTCAGCACTGTATCAGTTAACCCTGCTCTGAGGAGGGTTAATTGACACAGTACTGCAAATGGCTGACTAGATGAAAACTCATATATTATGCCTCCCAACATCTCTTAACAATTGTGCAGCTGCATTCATATTGGCAATGGTGGGAATTTGAAGGAGGGAAGAAATTCCCCAGTGCAGACAAAGCCTGAGAGTGAGCCTTAATATTCTTTTCTGGGTCTTTTTTTGTCAGTCACAGTCATGCTTCCCTAAAACATTCTCAGAGCCATCTCCAGGTTGCTGATTATGAAGCAACAGCCACTGTTGGTCCCACTAGCTGTATGAAAACAGTGGAAAAATGGTGATACACCCTGGCCCATCTCACAGGTGCACTCAAGGTTCATGTGTCTACTCTTCTTCTCTCCCTTGTATCCTCACAGGCAGCACATTCTAAAAGAACCAGGGAAAAACAAAAATTAACTTTCTCCACAAATATAGACAATGTTTGCAAGATGTGCTTCTCCTGCACTGACTGGTTCTCTAGCAGCAGAGTATCAGGATTCCCAAGTCCTTCAGTACCCATTGTAGCCTTTAACTACATAAATCTCTTTGGCCTCTCCAGCTGACCACAGAAATGAAATACCCACTCAAAATACAACCCTTTAGACATGGCCCTGGTATAGGCCTACCCCTGGTAGGCCAAGGCTGTTCTTCTAAGGAGTTAGTTTTCTGAGGCAGTACAGAGCTGTAAGCTTCTTGAAATATGGAGGAAGCAGTCAAAAAGATTCTTCTAAATTTTATTGCTCTCCCATCTGCTCTCCCATTCCTGGCAAGAGACGTCTTTCAGAGTTAAAAAATTGCTGCTTCCCCTGAGCTAAGGCCTTAAACTTACTATCACTGCCCCTTTTGAGTAGTTTGCACTCCATGAGAACTAGGTAGGAGAAAGCAGGACCCACTAGAGCAGAACAGAGGGGCGTCCTGACTCTGCCCTCCTATGTACACAGTGAACGGGCATTATGAAGTTGGTGACACACTTCCTGTCACACAGATGGCATCACAGACATTCAGTAGCAACTTGTAAAAAATAAAGAAGTTCTCTCCTTGTGTGAAGCACTACCAGCTGAGACCATCTGAGCTCACAGACTGGTGGAGTTAGTTATACTTATGTACGGGTTATGTTAGGCTGTTATCTATAGGTGGCATCTCCCTGTGACCAAAGCTTAATCCCAGACCAAAGCTGGTAGAAAGTAGGTCATGTCACTCCAGTGACTTTGCAGTAGTCCCTTTGATTAATTATAGAGTTGTATTCACTGGTGTTTGCACTGAATATTGTGCAAATACAGCTATAGTGTCAGAAGATGGATTGGAACAGTGGAAGGAACAGCTACCACATCTCTTTTGAGAACGAACCTGGAAAAAAATTAAGAGCTGTTTCTGACTCCTCAGCTTCCACCACCTACTTGAGGAAGTCAGGCTCTCTGGGTTCTGGATGTAGTGTTGCTTATCTGGGTTAAGGTACTCTGCACATAAATGACATAAGAACAAGTGTTTTGGTGAGTCTAGACAGCTCTGTATCCATAGGGTTGCCATAAGGGATATCACATTGATTTATTGTCTAAGCACTTTTGGTTAAGGAGGGAATCAGGATAGTTTCAAATCAATGAAAGATCCATAGTTGTTTAGATCTTGGATATTGATTCTTATGATGGTGAATCTGTAGTCAGACCGTAGAAACACTCAAACTCTGTTGTGCTGGGCACAAGTGCAAGCATCAAGGCTTTTCTTGTCCAGGACAGCTTTCAAACAGTGAGCTTAGGAATACTAATCTCATGTGAAAATTATTTGCTTATGGCTGTATGTAAAAAGTCCTTGAACTATAGTATTTTTACTAGAAATGCTCAAGGGAAGACTAGTGGAACAATTAATAGCCCATACAGGATGATTCTGTTGAGACAGAAGTTTTGGAGCAACAGGCTTTTATCAATTGCATGTAACACTTTCTTCCAGAGAAATGGACACATGAATATGCTTTAAAGAGATTAATGGACGTTATAAAAGTTATGTGCTGCTGCACTTTGAATTAAAGACTTCACAACCTCCACTTGGAATCCCGATAGCATACAGCAGCTTATTCTTTTGATGTATAGAATAGATGTAGAGCTCTACGGATTTCTTAATGGTGTGATGGGAACTGAATATTTTACAAAATGCAGTAGGACTGCAAGGGTTTTCTGATAGCTGTTAGATTGAACAGGTGGACTGTGTCTATCTTCCATAGCTGGTTGCTTTTGGGTATGGGAGTGAAGCAGGCTTTGGGATTCTTGTGATTGGATTAAGAACACTTTAGCAATATTTTCAGCCTTAAGAAGTGTTCTAGGATTACTCTTTCTTTAGCCCATCTGTCTGCAGTGTACTTTTTCTATTCCATAGAAAAGAACTCAGCTGTCTCCTCAGCACAGTCCTTGCTGATCAATGACTGCATATGTTTGGTTGTAGTAACTTTCTGCCCGTTTCCTTATTTATCAGTAGACATCAGAATTTATAAGGTGTCAAGAAAACTGGCTGTATTTCGATAGCTTGCACAAGGAGTGTTGCAGCAGTATCTCTGCCCTCTTCAGTATTATATACGATAATGCAACTTTTCCTTCTGAGCACTCTCATGCGCTTGTCCAGCCCCGAGTAGGGGAGAAAGGATGTCACCAGACAATTACACAAGGAGTGGCTTGTCAGCCAAAGTGCAAGATCTTGTGCGGGAGCGGGACGGGAGGAAATGCCCAAGTTGCACATGAAGCCCAGGTGCGAACATTTTTTTGGGGAGAGGCACAGACAGGGGTGTCCTCCCTGGCCGTTGTGGCCATCTCCTTGCGGCCACAGTGGAGGGGCGCCTAACCACGGTTTGCACGGGAGAGGAGCGAACACCGGCGGAGGGAAAGGGCAGTGCTGGACATCCTGCCCGGGGGCTCTGGGAAGAGGCGCAGCCTGCGGCCCCGCCATGCTCGTAGGAAGAACAATGTCGGGGCAGGGCTCTCCGCAAGGTCCTTCCCCGTGCCGTCACCCTCCCGGCAGGACAGCTCCGACCCGCTGTCGGGTTACGCCGCCCACGTCTCACCGCGGCGGCCGCAGCGCCGGCGAGGCAGCG